AAAAAAAAAAAATAACCAACTCCCCCCAAAATGAATGGAAGTCCACATCTTAACTGCATATACATCAATAATTTACATGACTATCTTTCCCAACTTAGAGATTTATCTTACTCATTTTCATATTTCTAAAGTATAGTACAGTGCATAGTAGTATATAAGGCATTCAGTGAATATTTGTGCTTAGTAAATAGAAATAACTTTGGGATTAAATGTATACATTTATATATAGTTGGTAAGTTGTGTTTGCAGAGAAGAGGCATATCATAAAATAAAAACCTAAAATCCCTTATCTTAGATGCAGATGTGTTGTGAAATTCTCATTAATAATTATTCATGTCTTAGAAAAGTTATCTGGTGTATATATTATGAAATGTGAAACACCCAGTGATGTCTGGGATAGCATCCTATAATCAGGAATATTAAGATTTCTGCAACGAAACACAAATATTCCTGTTAAGTAAAATAAAAACTAAATACAATCAGTTAATATTTGCTGCCACCTTATCAATGGATTCTGAAATTATGGATAAGGGATTATAGTCATGTAAAATAATTTTAATTAACTTTAGGAAATTTTATCATCTTTCTTCCTCAGCTATTTCTAGGAATAAAATCAAGCAGAACTTCAAAGGTCATAAATTGAGAAACAATATAGAAACTAAAAAAGTCTGACTGCTAGTTTGTGTTAGTTAGCAAACAATATTTAATTCCATGTGTCATACATGCTTTACAGAAGATAAAACAAGGCAGACATATTTGCTGCACTCAAGTTGCTCACCAGTTCAGAGGAACTTCTAAATTTGTCATATACTGATACCTTTATCAGTCTCTCAAGGATCACCTGGTTTACTTCTACTTTAATCCTAAATGTATCCTCTGAGTTCAACAATATTTTTCGTAATGTTTAAAGATTTCCATAAGGCAATTTCATTTCTTTTCACCAACCATCCCAGCCACAAGGGATATTACAGACTAGTCACAAATGACTCCATCAATAAATGAACCCAGTGACTGAATTTGACCTAAGTTAAAACACTAATTAATACCTTTCCATAGTAATTCCAGCTCTGGAGGCACTAGATAAAATGGCAGTCAGGGCAATTTGGGAAGGTGTGTATAAAAGGTAAGCATCCGTCAATGCAATTCTATTAAGAAAGTCATCAGCTGTTTTCCTCAAAATCTCTGGATTCTCCAACATGGGATATCTGGTCTAGAAAAAAAGTTTGCAAATGTTACCATTTCTGAGGGTTTAAATGGAGTAACAAGAGTTTAAAATTACACAACTCATATTAAGAAATATGTGCTTTAAAATAACATATCCGAAGTTATTGACATTGTCCTCAATGTACATTAATCTCTTCTCTTGGTCATTTTCCACCTGAATAGGAAGGGAAGGAAAGGGAAACTCTTAAACATTCCATTGAGTCTAAAGTAGAGCCAAGAAATACATATTCCCAGGTAAATATGTCTCTCAAGCAACCCATGTGATTCAAATGTAAGGCAACATTTGGGAACAAACCTTATTTTTATATAAATTGCTCTACTTAAAATTTACTTTCAGGAAAAAGTAAATAAAAATGAATCTCAATTTGATTAGAATACAATAGACTTCAAATTCTCACAGAAAAAGTTTTAGAATATGCCCAACAGTTATGGAAGACCTCATATTTCCTGACAGTTCTTTATACCCTATGAAATAAACCATAAATCCTAAGCCCCAGATATCAATATTCAACACTTAAAGCACTAAGAAAGCTTTTCTACACTCTGAAACAAAGTACTCGAGTCAACTGTGCAAAAATGCCTCACCTGTGATATGAGAAATTCAGACACACTACTCTGATCACAATGCCTCCTTTTAAAATACATTGACTCATTTACTTCACAGCTGTTCTCCCTCCTCAGAACCTTTGGTTACTTATCCCTCGACTAGCTCCCACTTACCAGTGTCCTCTGGTCCTCATTTCTCTCCCGAATTCCCTGCCCCAATATGCTGCCAACACATTTCTGGCAAAACCAGAAATTTAACAGTGGTTGAATCCAACAAACCTTCACTTTGCAATTACACAAAGATTTCTGAGTACTGCCAGAGAAAACCATACAACCAGAGGTCTGGTAATGTTATTATAAACTCATGTTCATTGACCTCAACAAGGCTCTTAAACACTGCCGAGCAACCACAATATTTCCACAGCAAATTTACTCTCCCATTTTTCAGTGACTACATAAATATTTTCCATCTGTCTTAAACTATCTCCTTGATAATGCTCAGAAACTCCATCACTCTCAGAAAACTATCTCTTACCAAAGAAAGGTGCTATTTCCTGCCAACACCAAATCCTGAGGCATAACAGTATCCTAACCCTTAATTTCCCCTTTTCCACTATTAAAAGAAAGAGCCATTATTCCCTCTAAGCCCAGTTCTTCTACCTTGCTTCGAAATCCCATGCGAACCCCTTCCACCTTACTCCAAAGAGACTATTTTGTATTTCATCTTTCTCTCACTACTAGCTCTTTGCATCAGTGTTTAAATTTGCATCAGTCTTTTCCATAAAACAAAGCACAACAAAAAAACTCTCACCCAGCCAGAAACCTGGGAGTTCTTCCTCTGTCCTCATCTCTATAAACAGTCAATCCTCAAGTTTTATTGATTTTACCTAACTACAGGCTGAGCATCACAAATCCAAAAGATTCAAAATCTGAAATGATCCAAAATCTAAAACTTTCTGAGCACTGACACTCAGGAAATTCTCACTGGAGCATTTCAGATTTTGGATTCGTAATGCTCAACCAGTAGTACAACGCAAATATTGCCAAAAAACAAACAAAAAAAAGTCAGACAAGCCTGGGCAACATGGCAGAAGCCCATCTCTACAAAAAAATTAGCCAGGCGGAACTCACGTCGGGAGGAACTAAGACAGCCGAACAGGAACAGCTCTAGAGTGCAGTTCCCAGCGAGAACGATGCAGAGGGTGAGTGATCACCGCATTTCCAAACGAGTTATTACTGCCCACAGACCAGAAGATTCCCAGGCTGAAAAACGCCATGAGTTACCAGCACAGCTGTTTCAGCTGGCGCAGCTGGTCTCTGCACAAAAACTCACACAAATCTGGGTGGCCCTTTCTACCGGCGGCTGGAACGCCTGGGAGACAGAGCCACCCATTCAACTGAAAAAAAGGGGCTGAAACAGGGAGCCAGATGAACTGATTCAGCAGGGTCCCACCCCGACAAAGACCAGCAATCTGAAATGCTTTGGATTGAGAGGTCACAGCAAGGGCAGTTGGACCCAGGATGGTCCAGCTCCCTGGCCCGGCGGGGGGGGGGGGGGGGGGGGCGCGGGGGGGGGGTGGGGGGGGGGGGGGGGAAGGGCATCCACCATTACCCAGGGAGTCCACCATTACCCAGGCAGTCCACCACTACCAGTCAGTCCACCATTACCGAGGCAGTCCACCATTCAGAGGCAGTCCACCATTCAGAGGCAGTCCGCCTTACTGAGGCAGGCTGCCATTACCGAGGCAGTTCTAACTATACATCTGTAAACAAAACCCTAAGGAAGCTCACACAGCAGCTGGGCAGAGCCCATTAAAGCTCAGCAATGCCTCTGCTGACAGACTGTGACTGGCTACCTCCTTGCTATGCAACGCACCTCTGAAAAAAGGCAGCAGCACCTCAGGAATTTGTCAATAAAGCCCTACCTTCCCAGGACAGAGCACCTGGGAAAAAAGGTGGTTATGAGTTCTGCTGCAGCAGACTTGAACGTACCTGCTCAGCAGCTCTGAACGAACCAACGGAGCTCACAGCTCAGCACTTGAGCTCCTATAAGAGACAGACTGTCTCCTCAAGCAGCTCCCCAACCCCTGTATATCCAAAGAGACACCTCATAAAGGAGAGCTCAGGCTGACATCTGGTGGGTATCCTTTGGTGACAAAGATAACAGAAGAAGAAACTGGCAGCAACCCTTACTGTTCTGCAGCTGCTGCAGGTGATCCCCAGGCAAGCAGGGTCTGCATTGGACCTCTAGTAGTCCTACAGCAGAGAGGCCTGTTAGAAGGAAAACTAAAAAACAGAAAGAAATAACTTCAACATCAAAAAAGATGTCCACTCAGAGACACCATCCGAAAGTCACCAACTACAAAGACCACAGGTAGGTAAATCCACGAAGATGGGAAGAAACCAGCGCAAAAAGGAGGAAAACACCCAAAATCAGAATACTTCTCCTCCTTCAAGGGATCACAATCCTCACCAGCAAGGGAAGAAAGCTGGATGGAGAAAAAGTCTGATGAATTGACAGAAACAGGCTTCAGAAGGTGGGTAATAAAAAACTTCTCTGAGCTAAAAGAACAAGTTCTAATCCAATGAAAAGAAACTA